GCCTACCTGGTAAAACTAGCAGCCAGTAGGGAGAAAGGGGGGGAGGACCCGGGAACTCGCCGAATTCAGCCTGAGGGATACAATCCCGGGCCTTTTTTATAATCCCGGGGTTCCGGTACTGGGCAAAGACAAGCCCGGGATCCCGGAACGGTCCCGGGATTTGAGGATAGCATAAAAAAATGCGAAAATATGCAAAAATCAACTTTTATTTTTATTATTTAAACTTTCTTTAGAAATGGAAATATATATACTAAAAGTTTTCTCTTCTAAACAAAAAACAAATAAATTAAAATATAAAAATTCAGCTTGTGTGAAACAAGGTTAACAAATAAGCTTCATTAAGACAAATGTTTAGTAAGTAACTTATCACATAGTTAATATTGATCAGTTTCATTTCTATTTCTAAATCAGTCAGTCTTGTTTGCTTTGCATTTGCATCACTATAATAATTAAGCTGTTACATTTCTTTAAAATTAGTCAGTCATTAATCAGTCCTATTTCTTAAAATATTAATCAGTCATATTTATGATTTTAAATATGAATTAGTTAGACTCATTTCTCGTACTAATAGTAATAATATTAACTTTCTATACTTCAAGAAATCAAAATTGCTGAGCTTTTTTATTGTCATTGATTACTCGATAAATTGGCAGGTAAACTAAGTGCGTTTCGTTTCATGCAATGTTTTTTTGAAAAACTAAGCTTTATTTTTTATCCCGAAAATCCCTGGGTTTCAGGAATTTAATACTGTGAAAGGGCCGGTATCCCTGGTTTATATCCCCTAGTCCAGCCCCTCGAGAACATAACAAAGCTGCATTTCTTTTAAATATCTCTTGTACTGCTCAGATTTCAAAATAAGTAGCTAAAACCCTTGTATTAAGGAGTACACTTAACAACACACAGGCCTGAGATAATATAGAAAAGTTTAATTTGTAACTTTGACCCTGACGGCGATCGAACTCAAGCCCTCAGAGACGGCGACACCTTGCAACCGGCGTGCGAGCCAATTACAAATATTTACATTTAAGAAAAAGCCCAATCAGTGCCTTCGCTGTCTAATCTTACGTACCTATATAAATAAAAATAAAACACTTAATGTTGCTAAGCGTAAACTTCGATAACGGCTGGGTGAATTTGCCATTATTTTTAAGATGTTCGTCGATATCTGAAACTATCTTCTTGTGGCAACAAAAAAAAATTAAGTAATTGGTAGGAAAAATAGCTAAACAACACTTTCTTTTCTCATACAAACTAAGCCGGTACGAAAATAGTCAACTTACAAACTATGTTTAGTGTTTGAATTTTTATTATTTGGGGGGCAGAGGTGGTAAAATCATTTTTACTAATGACTGAAATTCGTAACATTAATAAAGTTAATTTTAAAAGTTTAGACACCACTGCACTAGATATGTGTAGTACATATCTAGTACAGCGGTGTAAAATAATACCTACTTATCTTCAGAAAGTAAAATTTGATATTATCACAAGCACATACAATACATATTCTATTACTAAACAGATAGTTTTTTTTTGCAATTAAAAAATAAGTATGATCTGGCATGTTCTATTTTTTTTAACTATTTGTAAAGGGAGTTACGCGATAACGGAAAGTATTCTTCAAGGTCGTCCATTAGCAATCACTTGATTGTTTATAAATTACTTGTTAGATCCACGTATAGACTTTTATGTTGGATGGAAAACTTGAAAAAATCTTGTATTGGAGTTTTAGTGTAATATATAAAAGATTTGTTATTTTCGTTATAGAACTATGTATAATTGTTTATTTATTTATATATATATTTTATATTTATATATGTATAATTGTTTATTTATTAATTACTAGATATCTAGTAACGTATCACCTTTCTGTTTAAAACTTCCCTGGACTAACAACAAATATTTCAAAACCAAAATCAGATAAATTGGCTCAGTCGTTCTCGAGTTTAAGCGAGAATTATATACATAGATAAAAGTATATAAAAGTAAGTGACGTGGTACATTTTACTCATATATTTCATTGCTCTTTATAGAGCACCTACTTTATAAATGATTATAGGCAGTGATTCTATGATAATCTAAGTTAATATCCCCATATATCGCACATCTAAATCTAAACTGAGACAACTCAAAAATTTGAGTGAGTTTTGACTTAGTACAATATTCAAATACTCGGTGATCATACGCATCTATCCAACATAACAGATTCAATAAAGGTTCGTGAATGAGCCACTAGATAACTTAAGCTTTCTTCTGTTGAATCAACAGTGGTCGCGCTCCTGCCACGTAAACAAATGTATTGTCAGACCTCCACATTAGTTTTTTGAGTTGTCTTAGTTTAGATCTAGGTGTGCGATATATAGATCTACAAATATGTAGAATCACTGTCTTTAATTATTTAGTTAGATGTACAAATATATTTGTACATCTTTATCTATAGAAAACAAATTTTCTAGAATTAAAATGTGTTTTATGTACACAAAACATTCGTGTCAGTTACTATAATCTTATCACGTGTATATACGCAGGTTAATAATTTTATGATAAGCTGTCTATAGGTGTTAAATATAGACGCGCCGAATATTCGTTTGATATTCGGTATTCGGCATCTTTTTCACTATTTGTATTTGGCCAAGTATTCGGTTTTGGTGTCGAATATATTCGGGTCGAGTACTTATATTTTATTGTCTACGCAACACGGTATAGAACTAACATTGTTTTAAATAACTCGATCTATAAACTATTATTAAACTAAACACCATCGCCATTAATAATAATAACAGTGGGAATATAATTATGATTATGTACGTAAAATAATCTTGTAACTTACAGAGATATGAATGGGGTAAAAATATAGTCTTTTTTGTTTTTTGTTTATGCATACATATATTTTAATTCAATTATTAGTAGTCGTCAGTATAAAGTTTGTTTTGAAATCCATAGTATAAATTTCGATTCAGAATTACGCGTTGGAATTTGCGGACTTAAAGATATATATTTAGTTAGTATACTCATTAATCGTGTCGCGTTGATTCTTCTTTGTTTGAAAAATTACTTGTACCTAATTGGATATTTCAGTTAAAATAAGCAAAGAGTAAAATCTGAAGCATAAATACTTATAATAGATTGTCTTGTTTTAATTAAATCAAAAATTAACTTTTTTATATCCGTGAAAACGTTGTCCGCCATCATGATGTCAAAGAGTATGTATATTTTTTTATGAAAGTAGGTATGTTAATCGATTTCTTCTTGAATTGTGAACCAATGTCTATCAAACTAGCAGTTTCCCTGCGACTTCGTCTGCGTAAATTATAGCCTATGTCTAAGTCGTATTAAGTAGCTTACTATAGATGAAAGACTCATAAATCGGTCTAATAATTTCGGAGCCTGTCCAATGCAAACAAATCTTTCGTCTTTATAACACGAGTAAATAATTATTGGAACAAATTATGGCGAGCAAATAAACAAAATCTTTCCTCCGACTTTCACTATGTTGAATATTTTTATTTATATAGATATTTAATACTTTTTGTGTTATCTATTATTTAAAAATATGTCAATATCACTAAAAAGCATGATATAAAAACTTAAAAAAAATAGAACCGACTTCAAACTTAAAAAATATATAAATAATACTTGGACTGAAGTAGTATAAATAATACTACTTCAAACGCTACTTATTCAAGAAAATACTATTGGAGTCGGTGCCTTCATTTGATTAATAACCTACAGAAGCTTCTACCTCCGCCCGCCCGACTTCAATTGCATTTCCTTGAATAAGTAGCTTTTGAGATAAGTATTATTTATCATTTTTAAAAAGTTTGAAATGGGTCCCATTTAAAAAAAGTTTTTATTGTTGTTATTAACTATTGTACCACCAAAGTTCGAAATAGTAGTAAAAACTTATACTAAAACAATCGCAGTCAAATACGTTGCTTACTCTCATTTTCGATAAATAGTGTTGGACTGTCTGAATCGCGGTATATCTTGTCTTTGTATAATTGTATTTGTATTAAGAATTTATTATGAAAGTTTAAGCTTAACCCGCTTGTGCTACTGTTGTGTGCGTTAGCATCCTCTATTTGAACTTACGGTCCCTTAATACTCAGTCGCAAATAACCAATTTGGTTACCTCTGTATCGATTACACATCGTAACAAGGAGTTTTGAGTTTTATTTAATATTGCTACAAATTGAAAAAAATAAGCCAAGGATAGCATTGAAAAAATCGATTGGCCGTGTAATAACTTGATTATTTGCATTTTTCTAACGTTGATTATGACCTTTATTTTTATTCGACTAAAGGCTCAACAGCATATCACTTAACTCTTTTACAGTTTCAAATAAAAAAAAATGAAATTTAAAATAAATTTAATGTCCTATTCTGCTTGATAAAGTACTTAAAAATATTGATTTTTCAATATAAAAGCGCATGTTTTTTAATAACATTCCAATTTGTGCCGTTATAATGAGACGTAATACAAACGAATTGAAACTACTTTCTTGGAAAAACTTTACAATGTTTGCGATTCTGTTGCACAAATAAGACTAAATTCAGTTTTAATCCTGACAAACTTCAGTTAAGATAACAGAAGTAAACTTATTATGGTATAGTTCGTATTCAGATATATATAAAATATGATATATTATATTTCTTGGATTATATATACTTACGGAATAACGTTAAAACAAATTCAAATAAAACAAAAGATATATCTTAGATTAGGGAGTGGTAAAGATTTGGCACCGATATTGTCGTATTAATATAACGTTAGAGGAGGTGGAATTAAATATGTATTTTTTAATCGCGCTGGATTTTGTTTGGTAGGTTTTAATAGGTCTTCATTATCTATACCTTTTTTTTACCGCACGTCCAGGGCGACTTTTGGCTGATAAAAAGAACGAGCGAAAGAAACTCACCAACTCTAATAGAATTAACGACATTTGCAAAAACCGTGTGTTAACCGAATAAATATTACATTTTTTTGTTAGAGAATAATTAAGGTTCATACTTTATAGGCCCCATTTGCAGTCTCGCAATTTCATGGACGCCCTACTCGCCTTCTGGCCTGGGCTACAAGTCCTGCTGGGTGACGTTAGACCTGCAGTGGAGACACACGAAATGCTGTATCAGGTCATGCAAAGGCACACCTTTATTCCGGAAGCGTTTACATCAGATTTTCAGGTGAATATAGTATTTTGCAACAATCCACCTTCTCATCTTAACGTATGACGTAATTTAGTGAGTGGTATGTAAAAATAAAATAAAAAGACTTAAATAAAAATTAGCGATTTCAAGCTTAAAAAAAATATAAATAATACTTATCTCCAAACCTACTTATTCAAGAAAATGCAATTAAAGTCGGGCGGCGGGCGGAGGTCGAGACTTATGTAGGTTATTAATTAAATGATAGGCGCCCTACTTCAATAGCATTTTCTTGAATAAGTAAGGACCTTTGAAATAATTTTATTTGCAGACAGTTCTATTTTTTAAAATTTTTGTTTCATGCTTCTTAGTGATACTGGCGTTTTTTTTAATATTAAATAAAAATAATCAACATAGTGAAAGCCTTAGAAAAGAAGATTTTGTTTATTTGCTCGGCGTTATTTTTTCCAATAATTCTATACTCTTATTATAAAGAGGAAAGATTTGTTTGCTTGTTTGTTTGCATTGGACAGGCTCCGAAAATATAGTAAACTACTTACTACGAGTTTGACAGGCTATAATTTACGCAGACGAAGTCGCAGTGAAACAGCTAGTTTGATAGAAATTAGTTCACAATTCACTTTTTTACTTTTTAGGAAATGAAAGAGATTGACATATGTTGAGCTAAATACCTTTTTGGTACAACTGTGGGACATGCATCGCTTTATTACTTATATGTTATTATTATTACTATATTTTTATGTTTTCTCGCATATTTAATTATTTATTAATTGTCTGTAAGTATCCTATATATTTGTGCCATATAAATGAATTTGATATGATTAAAACATACACCTGAATGCATTTTCTATTTCTCTGAAAAAGAAAATTTCTTCTATTTTCGAAATACTTTTAAGATTCCAAAGAAACTAATTTTTCAATAATTTATGATGCAACAGAGGTAGATCCTAACACTACCCTTGATGCACAGATAATATTCATGGATACGATTTTAATAAAATTATAAGAACGATTTCCGAATTTCCGTTCGAGAACAAATAGAATAAGCCCTCAGGTGTCATGTTAATTCATGCGAGTTAGAACTTGTATTTTATTGTTAATATTACTACAGTGGGACAATTTTGTCTCAGGTACACTGGGGTCAGCATCCGCTCAGGCCAGAATTCCTCGAATCGACGTACTTCCTTCACAGAGCGACGGGTGACGATCATTACTTGCACGTCGGCAAGACCGTATTGAAAGCATTACAGCAATACACGAGAGTACCGTGCGGCTATGCAGCGGTCAACGACGTACGAACTAGAGTACACGAAGACAGAATGGACTCTTTTGTATTAGCTGAGACGTTTAAATACCTTTACATGCTCTTTGGTGAAGACAGAGATTTACCCGTGAAACTGGAGGACTACGTTCTTACCACAGAGGCTCATTTTCTACCGCTTTCTTTGGCTGCAGCCGGTAAAAATGCCACTTACTTCACATTGAGAATAGACGACGACGACGAAGATAAATATAGGAAGTAAGTGTACTGTCTTTTAATGAGGAAGTATTTAAAAAAAACGTCTAGTAAATGTTGATTTTTGCAGGAAACGAATGGACCAAAGACAGTCATTTCCATTCCTTTTATTTAATATTAAAAATGTGAAATTTGAAAAGATCGAAACTTAGATATCAATACAAATACGAAAAAGTACAAATAAAATATGAGTTGCTTATTGAGTTTTGAAAACCAATTTAATTCTAAACTTGAAAGAAATCCGGAATGATATCATGGAGTAATTAAGAACGGACCGTAACGACATCATTTTTTTTAAATACTTCCTCATTGCCAACTTTACATGTCATAATATTTTTCTTTATCATTTAACTAGGTTTTCGCCAGCGGTTTCACCCGTAGCCCCTAGGGAACTTTAATATTCGGTAGCAGGATATGACGAACAGTATATTGAACGATAAATATTATTATAAAAATCAACTTTGTTTTGGCTTAGGACATGTCCAAATACGGCGTCTCTAGTAGCGGAGAAAGTCCGTCAGCCGATGCGTCAGTTGCTCGGCTCGACCGCTGCCCGCCCGCCGGCGAGACTGCGCCCGCTCAACGACCCGAGACAGATACACGCGCTGTCCGACATGGGCATATCAGTACTCACCTTGCCCGACGGCAGAGTGCAGCTACTCTACACCACGTCCACGGTAATTATATTGTTTCTCTCTCTCTCTTTCTCTCTCTCTCTCTCTCTCTCTCTCCCTCTATTTATAATGTATTGATCTGTTAATGACATGGTTTTTGTAAATGTATTTACTCCTATTTAGAACTGGTGAGTTTCTTGCTCGTTTTTCTTATCAGCCAAAAGACGTCCTAAACGAGTGGTTGGGAAAAAAACGTTGGACTATTCAAAAGTACTTTTAAGAAGTCTATTTGAATAAAGATTATTTTGACTTTTGACTAGCTGACACGGTAAACGTTTGTGTTCCCATATAAACATGGGGGCCACCTTCGTTATATAGTGCTATAAAAACCGTAGTGCGAGTCGGACTCGCGCACGATGGGTTCCGTACTTATCCATTAAAAAAGTTAACTAATCGCGTTTGTTTTTTCTATGAAGTTGTTGGAAATTTTCGAGTTAAATACAATTGGTCGACTATTACTCGTAAACTTGTTAAGCCAACTTAAAAAAAAAAGATAATTTTTACTTTTAACTTCGTTGTGTATAGGTGCTACTGCCGTAACGAACTCGCGCACGAAGGGTACCTTACCGTTGTCTGTAAAAAATGGCAAAAGACTATATTCGTTGTATAGGAGCCCCATCAAATATTTATTTTCTTCTATTTTTAGTATTTGTTGATATAACGGCATCAGGAATAATCTGTGAAAATTTCAACCGTCTAGCTATCACGGTTCATTAGATAGTCTTTTGTTAAACGGACGGACAGCGGAGTCTTATAATAGGGTCACGTATTTTACTCTTTGAGTATGGAATTAAAAAAAAAAATATATATAAATATATACAGTGACTAGCTTTCCGTTTGTGCACGTTTTGTATTTTATTATACATAAAAACTTTCTTTTTGAATCGACCTATCAATTAATAATATCGCATAAAAATCGGTTAAGTAGTTTTAAAGATTGAAGTGCAATAAAACGAAAGGTTGTAAAATGAGACATATAGTTTCAATAATGACATGTGACAAAAATTATCTTTTTAATATTACTTGGAATAAGTATTGGAGATTTATTTTTTAAGGTATTGATTCTGTTGCACTTTTCTCTAACCTCAACGCAAAATTCTAGTATCACTGTAACGTTACGGAATAGATCTTTGTAATCTAGAAAATATAATTATATTCCTATAATATAATAAGTTTACTTCACTTAGTTATATAGTTAAAAACGCAGTTAGGCAGGATTAAATAATAATTTAGTATTCTCATAAAAATATTTTTTATTAATATCCCCGAGCCACATACATTCAAATATTCGATTCCATCGGGGATCAAATACGGGACCTCAGATATAACTTGAAGCGATGACGAGTCACTCAGTCGGTCACGGATTTATAATACATTCTAATACAAACACATTTTAAACAAACAATGATTTCATTTGAATTCAAAATTTTTATGCTAGCCAAATAAGAATAGGATCTAATTTGCAACCAACTTCAAGGCTTAGCTGTCGTTTTAGTACTGTCGGCAAAACAAATTAAATTCACCATTAATTTTTAAAATTCGTTTAACTTTTTTAAGCAACTTTCGCTAGGGTCGGTCACGGGATGGGTGACCAAAAAAATTATTATCTCGAGCTACTCCGTGCTTTGGAAGGCACGTTAAGCCGTTGGTCCCGGCTGCATTTGCAGTCGTTAATACCCTCCAATCCGCATTGGGCCAGCGTGGAGGGTCATGGCCCATCCTCCTTAACTATCCATAAGGAAGGCCTGAGCCCCTGCAGTGGGGACGTAAAAGGGCTGGTGTGTGTGGTGTGGTGTTTAACTTTATTCATATGACATATAGTTGTCCAATTATGGATAATTATTGTCGCAACGTTAATAGTGGTCATCCTAAAACGCGTCGCCATTTTAAGATTTCGGTTTCAATTACGTATGTCAATGTGCCATAATCCGTTATATCATATTAAGATAATGCGTAGATTTATAAAAAATAAAAATCTAGTTCCACCGTGTGTTCCTCTGTGCTTCAACTTCAGGGTATAAGTAGCTTATACCCTGAAGTTGAAGCGCAATGCAAACCAAGATGGCTGTTTGACTGTCCTATTCTTATTTAGTTCGGATAATATTATCATTGTTTCAACTACCATCTATATAAGTATGTTATTATTATAATATATAATTTTGCGACATTAATTTCAGGCGAAATCCGCTAAAGACGCAGCAGAAGGGCTGACCTTCATGCGCGAAATGTCCAAATGGAATTCATTGAGCGACATAGACAACGGTGTTGTGCCAGTCGGCGTTAAAGTAGAAGACAAGATATTCCCCGCTGGGCCCGGCCACTTTGGTCGCGAGATAACTGGCGACGACCATCTAACTGGGACCATAGTGTTCGCCGTGCCCTCCGACGCCTGCACTGATATAAAAAACAGGGACCAAGTCGTAGGAAAGTTCGCAATTGCCAGTAGAGGGCAGTGTACGTTCGCACAGAAGGTACGCAATATGCAGAACGCTGGTATCAAACTCGCCATTATATTAGACAACGTAGCTCATTCCACGCACGAGAATACCGCCTTGTTCGCTATGTCCGGAGATGGCAAAGATGATATCGAAATACCGGCGGTATTCCTGTTCTCCGAAGAAGGCAAGTACTTAACCGATATGGCTCAAGCTCAACCAGAACTCACAGTGACTGTAGGTGAATTGAAATCTCTAAAGAAAAAGTATGAAAAAAATTGTGAAGAGGACGGTTGCGAAACAATCGTGGAATCTTCAGAGGTCGCTTCAGATAAGGAATCTTTTGATCATCTCAAAAAAGTACTTAGCCAGTTAGTCGCGCAATTCGAGTTGTCTCTTTCTAATGAGGAGCAAGCAGCTCAGAAAATGTGCAACGACAATAACGTGGACGTTTACCTCTCGAAGGATTCATTTTTAAATGATGACCTCCGCATCGACAGCAGGCCTGTTTGTACGGATGAAAAAAAAAATAAAAATTCCAAAGAAGAGGCAAAAGAAAAAAGTACCATTACAGAGACACCTGGTGATTTTTGACATCACGAGTACCGGTTTCGAGCAAAACTGTAAATAAACCGCTGTAAAATGTGAAGTGTAATAATATGTAAATATTATTGTAAGTGAGTACTTTACGAAATAGATTTTCGTGCCTTTCAATATTGATTAATTAATTTTGTTTTTTTTTTTATATATAAATTGTACCATCGTACACACCAATATGATGGTTATACGAAAAGATAATCTTTTTTATAAAATAGTTAAAGTTTTTGTACTTATATCGTTCTACAATATGTACATTTTATGGGTCTCTATAAGTGTTTTGTATCGTCATGTCTTCCGAATACACACACAGATTACTTATGTAAATATGAAAACAAATCTAGTTGTGCATCCATGTTGTAGTTACTTTATGGGAATTTTCTTATGTTATTCCCTAACAAAAAGAAAATAATTTACCGTCGTAACGGTGTAACATACACATCAACATTGAATATGGATGAATACAATACTAAGAATCAAGTCATAATGTAAATTTTTGCTTAAAATAGAATAATATCTTATAAAGTTAAATTGTTCCACAAAAATTAACCTCAGTATGGATGTATTATAAACAGTAGTCACCAATCTCTATAGTCGGAGAGGATCACAACACAACTTGCTAGATTAATATATACTTTATATATAGTGCTAGTGTTAACGAATGTACAAGTGAAGACTTATCAGAAACAATACATAATTTATTATTACAGCAAAGCAGGTCTTTTTTTAAATAGTATTTGATTCTCTGTTGAATTTATTGGTGAATGCCCTTATACTGACAGCATTTCAAACTCAGCTGAAAAATTGGCAGTAGAAACGAATTTTCTTGCAAATTAATGATTGGCACATAAGAATAGGTAACATTATGAAATTTATATTAAATTAAAGAAATTGATAATTTATTACTACTGGATTTGAAATTTTTTAATAATTGGGTTCAGATTACGTATGTTTTCGTAAAATAAATTTTGAACTGCGTGACTTCATACAAAAATCTAAAGCGTGTGTCTATATAGTACCTACTCGTATCTTTTTGTAGAGGTTATATGTTTTCACACAAAAAAATTGATTCTTTCGATTTCTTCGATGCAGTTGATGAACTTTAACACGAAAATTTTCGAGTCCGAAATTTTGCGTATTCGTAGTACGCATGTGAAATTTTGGTATTTATATTTGTACAGGCTCATTTCGAGCCAGATAAATTAGCACAATGAAGGTGCTTATTTCGAAATCAGAGATGATAAGCGTGCATTTTAGTCTTCTGAATGTTGTCCCAAAAGTGTGATATAATAGGTTCGCGACATTGCACAAAATCCAAAATTTACATTGCAATAAACATAGAGATTCTGATTTTGAGACTTAATCATAAAGATATGCTTAATAATTATAAACCAAATTTTATTGACATCTTTTAATCTTCTACTCTATGCATCTGTTTTGTGTAATATCAGAATGACGTCATGTGTATGACGGACAGCGTTTTCGCGGGTATAAAAAATTTTACATTTTGATTTAATTGAGGGCAAGAAAACGTGTTTATTATTCCGAAATATTTGTTTCATGGCTTTTTTAAATAAAAAGTTACAAGTATTATTTCATACACAGTAGAATACCCTATTTTGTGAATGCGTCATGAGTTTGGTGAGAAAAATTTGGCAGTCCTGTTAGGTCCTGAGTAGCTCAGTGATTAAAGAATTCGTCCGGATTGCGAAAGGTCATGGTCATGGGTTCGAGTCCCACATCCCAGAGTGCCAGGGATAAAGTGGATTTTTCAAACTTTTTGTTAAGGTTGCACTTTGAATTCTTGTTTTATTTTTTACTAGCTTTTGCCCGCGACTTCGTCCGCGTGTTAAAGTTACGTTAAGCAGCATTTCTAACTAATATTTATTCATTATTTCTTGTAATATACCATAAATAAAATTTCATCCCCTATTTTATCCCCTTGAGGTGGAATTTAACAAAATCCTTCTAAGGGGATGCCTACGTCATAGTAGCTTTATGCATGCAAAGTCTTAGCCCGATCGGTTTAAAGTTGACAAATTTTCATACAAACTCTCATCCCCTATTTTATCTCCTTGGGGTTAGAATTGATCGAAATTCTTTCTTAGCGGATGTCTACGTCATAAGGTCTACCTGCATGCCAAATTTCAGCCCGATCCGTCCAGTGATTTGGGCTGTGCGTTGATAGATCACAATGTCAGTCAGTCACCTTTGAGTTATATATGTTTAGAAATTCTTTATTTTTGCATAGAGTTTACTTTCGTGCCGGATTATATTATTTTCCAATTAAAATTGATAAATATATACTTACTAACATTAATGTAAAGAAATTTTCGGAAATACTTACTGATCTGATCGAAAATTCTTTAACCTATAGAAAGTTACACGATACGCGAGTGACTTGGCTATACGAGTAATTTACGTGGGCGAAGTCGCGTGGAAGCCGTTGAGTTATAAATCTATACTAATATTATAAAGAGAAATACTTGATTGTTTTTTTGCATCAAATAGGCTCCGAGACTACTGGACGGATTTTAAAAATTCTATCAGTTATTCGTACGCAGTTAATATAGGCTATAATTGAAGTCTCGGGAAAACGACTACATATTATGTTATAGCCGAGATTTGATATTATAGTTAAAAATATTTTTTGACGTTCTATTTATGCTTCATCTCTATTTGTCATCGATAGGGCTATGGATTTTATCTTGCTCTTTCCGTCATCAAAAATAAAATGTAGAGTAGTTAGTTCTGTTTATTTATAAAACAAAGGCTTATTTATCTACATATACGATTTCAAGGCAGACTTAAGTTTACGTTGACCGTGAGGGCTATAGTCCGGGGCGGGCACAGGCGGCATTCCTGTTTGCCAGCGGTCGTGCCTCCACTGACTGTCGTTGGCGGAAGCTGATGGTGAAGACGGCGGTATACTCATAGGTGGTGGTGGCCGTTTCACGTCTTCCAGGTAAGAGAACGGCCTCGATGAACCGGGTGACGGCTGCCAGGAGTTGGAGCGGTCAAACACCGGGCTGGAACAGTTATTATTATTACTGGCTAAACACATGGCTTTCTTCTTTCAACAGCGTCTCCGCAAGTATATGTCAAAATCGCACCTGTTTTGCGTGTATGGGTGTATTGCGTACCAAGATGTTTTTTTTTATTTCAAATTGTGCAGCACATTATGTTTTAATGATCATAATACCCATATAATAATTAAAAACTTTAAACAGGTGATAAATAATACTTATTTTTCAAGCTACTTATTCAAGAAAATGTTATTGAAGTCTGGCCCCTATCATTTAATTAATAACCTACAGAAAACCTCCACCAGAATATTTTTTTTTTAAGTTTGAAGTCGATTTCACAAACTATTTTTTTATAAAAAGTTTTATTTCACGCTTTTTAGTAATACTTATATTTTTTATATAATAGGTACCGACACAATATTAAATACATATGTAAATAAAAATATTTAATATGGTGAAAGTCTCAGAAAAAGAGATTTTGTTTAATAATTTCCATAATACAAAACCTTTAATTTACCTGTATAGTTTAGAATCTGAACAAAGTATTTCATATAATTTGTAATATATTAAATAGCTTCTTGGAGTGTGGTTAACGCCGTTCTGTCTGCAATGCGGAATCTAAGCAACTTTCCGGGCCGGTTATAGAATGGGTGACCAAAACTTTATTGTCTTAAGTTCCTACGTGCTTCAGAAAGCAGCCGTTCACCTCAAGTCGTTAGAACCCACCAGTCCGCACTGAGCCCCTATAGTGGGTCATAGCCCAAATTACTTATTCGATTCTATCTATATTCCATCTATAGAGAAGACTTATGTCTCAGCAGTGGGGAAACAGGATGGTGACGATAATAATATCTGTGATATCATCTAATTAATATCTTCAATTTTGGTAGGTATTAATCAAATCAATTTAGGAAAGATAGTTATTGAACTTACTTCATGTATTCTGGTCTCGTGTTGCCATTACGTATCGGACTTCGGCTTCGTGGTGGTTCTTCGTCGTTCGTGTAGCCGTAGTTGATTTGTGGTCTGCAAAAGTATGTTGCATTAAGTATGTTAATAACAGGTTCGAAAGCTCTGAATAAACCGAAAATTATATAAAAATTATTCGCACCCGGGCCTTCCGTTTCTATTGCGCTGGTTACATATTTCGCATTGATGGTTGCAATGTTCATTTTTCGTTTGGCTCCTGCAACATATAATAAATATATAAAAGTGTTTTTGTATCGAAAATACTTTGAAACTACTGGACCGATTAAAAAAAAAAGAAACATTCACTACGGGAAGCTTCATCATAGGCGTGTGACATAGGCAAAGCTAGTTTATAATAATCGTTTATATAATTGACATTAATTATTGAAAAATAACCAACTGATTTCGATTGTACTTTATTTTCAAGACAATCAATTTATTCAACTAATTTAAACGAAAATTTTTGCGTCAATTAATAGTGATGTTAAGTGAAGACTGATCGATGTCAAAAGTGTCTTTTTATCATTTACAAAGCATTTTATTACTAAGATAATAAATTATTATAGGTAAACACTGCAAATTAACTGTAAATTCAATCTACGAAATTAAAAAATAGACTGCTTTATTTTTCTTTTTTACTTTATTTTACTGAACAGAAGTAAAGTCTGCGTTACGTGTGCACATGTGCTTCCTCTCATAAAAAATAGATATCCATTCATATGTTGAAAAGATCAACTATCTATACTCACTCGAATGCATTCAGCGCACCCACTTTGTGAATGGAGTGCTGAAACCATATTTTATTAAATATAAATGATTAATATAGCTTTCCGCCAGCGGCTTTGCCCGCGTATAATAATCTTTATGTAACGTTGAGTAGAATAAAAAGTATCGTATTAAAGTGTTAATCGATTCTTACAATTAACATAATACCAAATTTCATCCAAATCCCCGTCAAAGAGTAACAAATATACATGCATAATTACACACATCTTCACAAACTTTTGTATTTGAGCATTATATAAAAACTTATAGATATGTTATTAAAAAATAGTACGTAGGAGGGATGATAAATAGCTAGCCCAACCCATATTTTGTATAATAACGATATAAAATCTCCTTAGTATTTTACTCATTGGTTCATTAGCTGCCGGTGTTCCAAATTGCAAATTGATCGTATAGTTTTTCTTTTAAATATTGACATTTCAAAAAGCATTCTTTTGTTTTTTTCTGCAAAATGGATAAAATTGAGCTACGAGCTGTGATAAAGTTTTTACATTTAAAAGGATTAAAAGGTGGAGAGATTTTTTCGGAGATAAAGGATGTTTTTGGAGAAAATGCTCCTTCATATACGACTATACAAATTGGGTGACTGAATTTAAACGTGACCGTACCAGCACCCAAGATGAACATCGTCCAGGACGTCCAAAAAGTGCCACTACTCCAGAAATTGTGATCAAATGTCATGATGCAGTTTTAGCTGATCGAAGATTGAAACTTTCCGAGATAGCTGATACTGTAGGCATCTCTAAAGAACCACTCACCCATTACATTTTGACTCAAGAATTATGTATGAAAAAATTATCCGCAAGATGGGTGCCGCGATTGCTTACAGTTGACCAAAAACGCGTTCACAAGAATGTTTGGACCGCTTTATTGAGTTGTATTGAGCAATACAACTGATTTTCTGCGACGGTTTTTTACTACAGGCGAGACTTGGGTTCACCACTATATACCTGAATCAAAAATTCAGTCTAAACAATGGACGGAGAAAGGATCCCCGGCTTCAAAGAAAGCAAAGGCAGTGAAATCAGCGGGGAAAACCATGGCGTCAGTATTTTGGGATTCGAAGGGTATATTGTTGCTTGATTACCTTCCAAAAGGACAAAACATAAATGTATACTAATATTCGTATATATGTATACTAATATTATGCTGATCTACTGAATAAATTACAAGTGTATATTCGTGAAAAAAGACCCGACCTGGCTAAAAAAAAAATAATCTTTCATCAGGATAATGCGCGCGTTCACACGTGCATCACTGCGATGGCGAAATTCAAAGAATTAAATTATGATTTGCTACCACACCCAGCTTATTCTCCTGATCTGGCACCATCTGATTTTCATCTATTCCCTAAACTCAAAAATTTTTTAGGTGGACAAAGATTTGAAAATAATAGCGAGGTGATTTCTGCCGTGGACAGTTATTTTGATGGTCTTGAAGAAAACCACTTCAGGGATGACATCAAGGATTTAGAGCATAGATGGATGAAGTGCAAAGCGCTTCAAGGAGACTATGTCGAAAAATAAATATACTTTTAACACACTAATTCAAGTTTTTCTATTCTAGGCTAGCTATTTATCATCCAATCAAACATCTACTGAATAGTGAATATTGGCATACGATATATTGCTGAATATTCGTTCGTCGTAAAGAGCCTTAATCTGCTGTAGGGTAGGTTAGAACATAATATTAATTGAGCATGAGAGAGTCGTGTTAGTATAGCGGATATGTAAATTTCCGCGTAGTTAGTAATTCTTAAAAAATCGATCATGTGTGAGTCGGACTCGCGCACCAAGGATACCGTATCATTATTTATAAAAACGAAGAAAAACTACATTTGTCGATGGGTTGGGAACCACCCTTAAAAAATATTCTGTTTTTAATACATATATTTGTTGTTCAATAATACATTATCCGTGAAAATAACGAATGTTTAACTATCACGGACCATGAGATACATCCTGGTGACAGACTGACGGACGGACGGACAGCGAAGTTTTAGTAATTAGCGTCAGTTTTTACGCTTTGGGTACCAGAAGCTTAAAAGGGGTACAATATACAGGAAACTGTTAGACACAGGACACGACATGCTCGACATTTGCCATTTTCCAGGGGTGCAAAAACTGCGTTCTAATCTCATTCTTTTTTATTAAGACATTAGAAGTCTTCACTTCACCAAAAATTAATGATTTTATTTTATAATAAATAGTTTAAGCTTACCTGGGATTTATTCAGTCTCTCTACGTACTCTATTACATATATCAGAAGCAATACGAGCAACACTATATTTACGAGATGTCCGATGAAACCTTTCAGACAAACGCTCATTAGGAGCAATGCGCCGAGACGCAGGATGTCCGTGGCATAGTTATCGGCTATATCTGTCATATTACTTTTATTCTGAAAACGTACAAAGATTTATTATATAATGTGAGTGTATTGGAATATTGATCCACTTTATGATTTCCGATTTCCCTAATAAGGAGCGGAAAAGGTTACCTATACAACAAAATGGAAACAGTCAGTGATTCTCAATTTTGCCTACAAAGGGCAATGTACACATCACACACTCAGCACCAGCCTATTAATGTTCAAACTGCTGGGACTCAGGCCTTCTTTAAGGTCGGAATCGAATCGAATAGCGAGAATGGGCCATGACCCACCACGTGGGACCGGTACGGATTGGTGCATGTCAATGTCTGTAAATGCAACCGGGATCGACTGCTTAACGTGCCTTACGAATTACGTTACAGTTCCAGATAATAAATTTTTAGTCCTACGATCGGTCTCCGAATGCTACGATCGGCCCTTGTGAAAGTTGCTTAACAACCGTATCGTAGATTGAGAGCGCTAATAAATGCGCCATCGAGCTCCTTTTAAAGGGCATTCTACATCCAGATAAAATCTCATCCTAAACAAGTATAGTGGTAATATCATTTTGAATACTTTAAATAGGATTTTAAGTTACCGCATTGTGTATTCAATTCTAATTATGTTTATGGTACACTTAAAAGAGAAAAAGCGTTATAATTATCACTTATTTATTTAAAAACAAAGCCGATATTTGTCGCTTACCAACTCATTAGTTAGGTAGGTAAAGTCCATTCCGAAGTGAGAGCCAAAAGTTATGTCAACGATGAGCGAGCAAAAACAAACTCCTAGATATCCATATATAAATATGTTTAGGTATTGTGTTTCTGATGTTGACGTAATAGCTGTAATAAATAAAGTAATTAATAATATTAATTTAACTAAGTAGATACTTTAAACAGATTTATATGATTAATCGTGCAATTTTATTGTAACACAAATTTAAAGTTTTGTATACTTATATATGAAATAAAATATGAAATAAAACCTACTTCAAACTTTAACAAAGTTCAGATTGCGACTCTGTAAAAATCTAAACCCGAATTTCGAACCCGGACCCGGACACTCTAGTCCAAATTCACTTCAAAAAGCGGCATCCACTCAATTTTAAATTGATAATAACATTTCGTGGCATAAGTGAACTGAATTTCGAAATAACATAGAAATATAATATCTGAGACACGAATAATCAACCAATTTGGTGTTGTGTTTTAATAGAAAAAAAGGAATCAATAGAATTTCTTATCTAAATCACGTAAATTCTGACACATGAGTGAATTTCAATTCGGGTTCGGATTTTTACAGAATCGCTCTGCAGTTTTAATTTTTTAATTAAAGTTTGTGAAACAGAATTGCTACTGTTGTTTAAAAAAATTGTAGGCCAAATTTCAAAATTATTTAGTCCCAGCATGGACCTATATACTAATGTAATACATGATTTGAAATAAACAAAATAACATGCTGTATTTTCCTATGACTTTTCTTATGTTAACATCATGTAATGACTATTTGTTCGTTATTATAACTATACATGATATACATTATAACTATACACGAATGAAATAGAATGATAGTTTGGCAGCAGTGTTCCCATTTTGTCGTTATCCACTAAAATAAGGAACATTTCAAAGTAGTAAAATTAAACAAAATTATCACTAAATATCGCTAATATTCTATAGCTAGAGTCATGACCAGGGAGTTAGTCGGTCGCAACCACAGAAATATAATAATGAATATAAAAAAATATTTCTGTGGTCGCATCCCAGCTTGTTAAGAATAAAAAAAACTGTGAATGCTTTGTAAACCGTAGAGTGGATTACAGACAAGGCATAGTGTAACGTATACAAACCTGATAATAGAACCACTGCTGCAATCAGGGTGACCATTGAAGCACTTAGTGTGATAGTAGTCAATACGAATACTGAGTAATCGCTTGTGATTCCATCAATCGATACAGATAAATCGCATGCCTCATCTGGAAAGGAAAGTCATAACATAACAGCATTTAAATTATGATACGCATATGAAAATTCGTGATTCTTGATGTTTTCTTCCCTTCCTAATTTCTATTTCTTTCGCCAGATTGATTACTTGTTTCGCACATAACCATATTGATATTTTTCTGGCGAAAGTGGGGAAGAAGCTATTGGATGCTTCTAACCCAATAGAAGGCGTAAGTATGTCATTTACAAACTGTAATCTATATTATATAAATAAAAATGAATTTCCGTTCGTTAGTCTCGCTAAAACTTGAGAACGGCTGAACCGTACTGACAAATTTTAGTCTTGAAATATTCGTGGAAGTCCTGGGAAGGTTTAAACGATGAGAAAATATTATAAAATTGGGAGCATAATACTAAAAACGACAATTTGATTTTCCCATACAAATTTTTCTTCGCTGTCAAACGTTCAGTTGACGATCAATAATAATTATGGTCGTGCAGTGGTCAGTTTAGGCAATATTTTTCAATATTAATATGGTTTTTATAAAGAGGTAAGTGATAAGAAGTTCACCGGGTCAGCTAGTCTATATAAATAAAAACACTCCGAAATTTGGGTTTGACAACTCTATGATAATTCTATTAATATTATAATGGGAAAGCTTGTGAGGATGTATAAATAGTTTTTACTGTTTCACGCAAAAAGTACTGAACGAATTTTGATGAAATTTGGTATACACATGATATTCAGCCTGAATTAATATACTACTACTACTTTTTATCTAGCTAAATTGTTCCTAGGAATACTAATAGCATAAATTTTCTAAGTTCATAGTGATTGTTCAATAAATTTGAATATTTGTATGATGTAATCTTCTTGTCATTGTTTTCTGTTGTGTGGACTTACCTAAAATATAAGCTCTGTAGAACACGGTTGTGAAGAAGTTTGATTGAGCAAATGACTCAAAAGACGTGGCATTACACTCATATCGAAATATTAATGCGATTATCGATAATGCCGTATACAGCAATGAAAATATCTGAAAAAAAGTTGTCTATTCAAGTAAATCTTACTAAAGTAGGCAAGTAATACTTTTAAATATTTTACTAATGAAAGGAATCCATGTTAATAATAATCTAATAGGTTGTCACAAAAATGTGCAAGGACTTTCTAAAGTTTGATATTTCAGTATTATATACATGAAGTACTATATACATCACTCAGTCAGTACCCAGTGCAGACCCAAATCGTGACACATATTAAAAGAGCTTTTTACCAGTTTCAAATTATTCAGCAGATCTCGGAAGTAATGGTTTAAAGTTGATTTATTACTAAATCTTTAATAGTTCTTAAAAAATACCCCGCACTGGGTACTGAGTGACCCTTAGTACTTTAACATACTGAAATATCAAGTTTTAGAAAGCATTTGCACATTTTTATCACGAGTTTCCGTCTCTATAAACACTAACTGTAATAGTGGTCATTTTACATTTGTTCCGTATTATTTTGTTATTTACTTATTCCATTAGTGTTATGTGAGCAGAATATAACATACAACTCTTTAGACACTTATTCTGTTATTAATAAACAAGGTTTAGCGTTGGAGTAAATTTACGCTGAGACTGTACTTAGTATTAATCAAAATTCACGCTTATTATTAAACAGAGTCTTAGCAAAGGTTAACCTAGTACGAGGTTCTGTGGGACTAATATTTACTCTTAGAAGGTAGTAATATTTACTCTTAGAAGGTAGTGGGTTTGCTTATTCTCTGTATAATATGAATTTGGATTAATGGTTAAATTGCAATTTGGTTAAATTATTAGTGGTTAAATTTACTCTGATGGTAAATAAGTAAAATGACACAGATTAATTCAGTTTACCGGGGCCTTATTGTCTATCTCAATACTTTCAATCTATTTTTCGTGTCTCTACCGCGTAATTAATGCCTGCTTGAGCAGTGTAATCATTATCATGATTGGTCAGTTGGCACTTGAACCCGGCAGATCACTTAGGGCTTTATTTTACAGATCAATCAGAGTTACAGTCACGTAGTAGAGCCGTTGATCCCTGACAAAACACACTCTAACCTGTCTTTCACCAGTCTTTGATTTCTTTAACGTTCATAGCAATCTTTCTTTTATTTTTTATTTTAAGTTTGTGTATATTGAAAAGCCTTGTCGAACGGGTTTTTAATTTACAATAAACTTAAAAATAAACTTTTGCCAATTACATTAAAATTTAAGAAAACAAAATATATGAATCATTAATTAGTAAGAGTTAATCAAAACATATTGTTTGATAAAAAAATATCTTTTTGCTATCACTTTTCCTCTGACTTTAAGATAGGCGGTAGGCCCTCTGAAAGCAAAAGAAATAGTAGGTATTTGTCTGATAGTTTCAAAAGCAAGCTACTAAGGCATAGATACTTTTTATTTCGTATAAATATAAATAAAAACAAAATGTAAGTTATACCTAAGTATTAAAATATTACAAAAAATCTGAGCTATTATAATAAGTAGTAGGTATGGTACCTTATAATAATAATAATCATATTAATAATTATTAAAATTGTATAAAGTGAATTCGCATAGCTTTGCATGTTTAATAACAAAATATTCATATATTATAACAATAATTGCAAGTTTTTTATAAATAATCAATAAATTTGTCATTACAGTTGTTAGTCATCGTTCGAATACGTTATTTCTTTAGAAAGGTGCACAGTATATGTTAGTAAATCGGTAAATTAAATTCGCATTAAGCTTATATAACAGTCTATATAATACTACTTTTATTTTAAATTCAAAGATATGAAGGGAAATAAGAAATGAAATCTATCAAAAACGTGTTTTATCGTCTTTAACATATAAAAGTGTTACTTACAAGGGTTAAACTTCCGGAAAGAATTGAAGTCAGAATCAATTTAGACGATGGTTTTACTTTTGAATCCATTTTTTGTTTTCTTTTTTTTTCACTATTACGTATGGCACATTCAAACACGACCTCTATCCTACATTCGCGGAGGGACAGGAAAGCAATCGATGTATTAATCGTATCACGATAATTGTTATCAGTCTGTGTTAATGCGCACACTATCTACGTAACTATTAAGATATTGAGAGATTGTTCACACCGTCATTTATTTAGAATTAATGTAAAAAAATATGGTACATTCTTCAAAACGCTGTCTAGAACCACGCGTGAATTAACCCCCCTTTCTTTACACATTACTCGTATGCAAATATTGTGTTACATAAATGAAAAGTTTGTAATATTCAACTAGAAATTTGCCGATATGTTCGTTCTTCTGAACAAAGTCTTGAATAATTCTGAAAGGATTTCTTAAAACATTTGCATGTGAATTAAACTTTATAATATATGTTATAAAGTTAGATAGTAGTGTAACAATTATCAGGCAGCTATGGTCGTCGTATGTGAATAAATAGTCGGCTTGATGGCTAATTGACATTTATTTATAATAGCTTTTTCCCGCGACTTCGTCCGCGTGGTAAAGTTACTTTGAGCAGCATTTCTAACGAAAATTTTTTCGTCGTTTCTAATATATACGTCGTCGTCGAATATATATAATATTTATTCGAGAGTCATCCCCTATTTTATTCCCTTGGGGGTAGAATTTATCAAAATCCTTTCTTAGGAGATGCCTACGTCATAGTAGCTTTATGCATGCAAAGTCTCAGCCCGATCGGTTTAAAATTGACAAAGTTTCATACACACTTTCATCCCCTATTTTATCCACTTGTGGGTAGAATTAATCAAAATCCTTTCTTAGCGGATGCCTACGTCATAACATCTACCTGCATGCTAAATTTCAGCCCGATCCGTCCAGTGGTATGGGCTGTGCGTTGATAGATCACTATGTCAGTCAGTCACCTTTGAGTTATATATGTATATATAGATAATTATTGTACGTGTAACAACTATTATAAATATATTAAATAATCATAATAATTTTAAAATCTGTACTATTTGCAAATAATGTTGCATTTAATCTGCAGTGATATCCTGTCAGAAATACAGCTTCGAGTGCAAAGGTTCAATAAAATAAAACTTAATTCAAGTATTAAATGTTTTATTTGACTGAACTTCTATGTTGCGATAGCAATGTGT